TATATATGTATATATGTATATATGTATATATGTATATATGTATATATGTATATATGTATATATGTATATATGTATATATGTATATATGTATATATATATATAAAGCAGGCACATAACCACCGTTAATAGCAGCTTTATCGGGGCAATATAACAAGCAGGGACGAAATGAGGCTATTTAAATTCTTAGAGCATAAGGCACTGGCTTGAAAGCAGAGATACGAAGTCTCTCTGTGCGTCCCTTAACCGTGAGCTATAGAAACAAGAATATATTTTTTTTTTCCTCCCCTTTTAATCTCCTGCTGACATCATAAAAGGTAACAGTTGAATATCGGTGGGAGGCACGGCTAGGCAGAAATTAGTCAGCAAGGTTTATTAATATCCCTTTCTGAGTGTGATAGAAATTGGGGGAGGGAGTGGATTCCAGGAAGCTCACTTGACATCAGCTTTTGCATCATGGCAGCATCCCAAATGTTGTTGAATCGTGACCCTTAATGGAAAGAGGGCGGTGAGATAAAAAAACACACAATCCTTTCTCCTCTTTGGCAGTTTTCCATATTTCCTGCTGACTAATGCTGCTTTAATTGGAGATGGGCGCAGGAATTGGGCCTGTCTCACTGAATGAAAAGAAGGACCAGGGGTGACGTGATAGCAGTCTTCCAATATTTGAGGGGCTGCCCCAAAGAAGAGGAAGGGGGGTGGGGGTCGACTTATTTTCCAAAGCATCGGAAGACAGGGCAAACATGGATGGAAACCAATCAAGGAGAGAAGCAACCTCAAAATAAGGAGAAACTTCCTAACAGGGAGCACACAATTAACCAGTGGAACAGCTTGCCACCAGAAGCTGTGGGTGCTCCAACACTGGAGGTTTTTTAAGAAGAGATTGGACAATGGTTTGCCCGGAATGGTGATGGCAAAACTATGGCATGTGTGCCACAGACGGCACGTAGAGCCCTCTCTGCGGGTAGGTGAGCCATCGCCCCAGCTCGGCTCCACCGCGCATGTGTGTGCGCCTCCCGATAGCCAGCTGGTCTTCGGGTCTCTGCTGCCCATGCGCGGGGCACCTGCGGGAGACGTGCATGCATGTGCAAGGGGTGGGAAGGCAGATCATACGCCTGCATGTGGGCAGGTGGGTCATGTGTGCATGCGCGGGGGTGCAGGGGGAGTGTGGGTGGTGTAGCACCCTCCCTGTAGTCTGTCTTTGGTCCCAGGAGGCTGCAGGGAGGCCTACCAAGCCCACAATGGGGTGGGTGGGGGGTCACACACCCATGCACAGGGGGCAGGGGGAACGTGGGAGAAATGTGTATATGTCCATGTGCAGGAGGGCAGGGACAGGAGGGGGTGTCGTGCTTGCATTGCATTATGGGGGCGGGCGGGCGCGTCTGCACACAACAACAAAAAGGTTAGCCATCACTCGAATATAGGGTCTCCTATCTGAGCAGGGGATCGGACTAGAAGACCTCCAATTTTGTATTTATCTATTTATTTATTTTGTCATGTTAATGTAGTGTATGTTGGAGGTGGTGACCCTTTGAGAGCTGCATGCAACGAAATTTCATTTTAATGTGTGCCGATTAGCGTACCTTTAAAGTGACAGCAAAGTTTTAGTGAGCCGATTAGTGAACCTTTAAAGCGACAGCAAAGATTTAGTATGCCGATTAGCGTACCTTTAAAGCAACAGCAAAGTTTTAGTCTGCCGATTAGCGTACCTTTAAAGCGACAGCAAAGTTTTAGTCTGCCGATTAGCGTACCTTTAAAGCGACAGCAAAGTTTTAGTCTGCCGATTAGCAAAACTTTAAAGCGACAACGAAGTTTTAGTCTGCCGATTAGTGTACCTTTAAAGCGACAACAAACTTTATTGTCAGTTTATTTTTTAAAAATAAGTTTTTATTTAACTTATGTAAGTGCTTAATTATACAGTGGATTGCCTGAGTCAATTTATTTACGCATAACATCAGTAATGGTAAAGTTATTCTAAGTCTTGGGAAAATACAGACTCAAATCAACCGCCACTTAGTACTATTCACTTTGATAGTAACTTCTCTGTTGTTGTTGTTTTCCTCCTGGGCAGAATCCTTACGAAATGTCCCTCTTGTGAGTCACGCTCCTCGCTCATCCCCAGCCGAGTTCAGCGGCTCCAACCAACGGTTGTTGCGGGAACGGAAAACCTCGGCTCCTTCGCACTCCAGCCAGCCCACCCTCTTCACGTTCGAGTCGCCTTCCAATCACATCCGGAGCACCCTCTCCACCAGTGCCCCCCAAGACTATCTCTTTCTACACCAGTGCATGAGCCAGAAATCGGAAAATACAAGGTAACCCTTGGTTTAATCAAATCATTCTTTTTCATCTTTAGCTGAAAGGGACGCGGTGGCTCAGGGACTAACACAATGAGCTTGTCGATCAGAAAGGTTGCCGGTTCGGCGGTTCGAATCCCTAGCACCGCGTAACGGAGTGAGCTCCGTGACGTGTCCCAGCTTCTGCCAACCTAGCAGTTCGAAAGCACATAAAAAATGCAAGTAGAAAAATAGGAACCACCTTTGGTGGGAAGATAACAGCCTTCCGTGCGCCTTCGGCGTTTAGTCATGCCGGACACATGACCACAGAGACGTCTTTGGATAGGGCTGGCTCTTCAGCTTTGAAATGATGAGCACCGCCCCCTAGAGTCGGGAATGACTAGCACACATGTGCCAGGGGAATCTTTAGCTTTACCTTAATCTTTAGCTGAGGTCCCCAATCCCGGGTGCACAGTCTCGTACTGGGCCACAACCCATTTGGAACAGGGGGGTCGAAGCAGCGGGTGATCATATGAGGGCATGAACCACCATTAGAGCAAGGGGCATTCAGGCATGTGAAACTATCCCCAGGACACTACAACCATCACAAATATGAGTCAGTTGCACAGCATCTGAATTTTGAATCTTGTATGCGTGTGTGCCTCCCACCGGCCAACTGATTTTCAGGTCTCTGTCAGGCATGTGGGAGACACACACGCGCATGCATTAGCGGGAGGATGCAGCGGCCCCCCACCCCACGGCCCATTTTTTGGTCCCAGGAGGTTTCATGGAGGCCTGCTAGCCCCAAACTAAGGCATGGGGGAGGGGGTCATGCACATGTTTGTGTGGGAGCATGCATGCGCAGGGAGCACAGGGTAGTTGTGTGTGTATGCACAAGGGGTTACATCAGCGGTGGGTTCTGGATCCCGTTCCAACTGATCTTAGTGTCTCTGTGAGCCTCCACGATGATCTAACTGCTCAGCGGAGCATCGTGCAGGTGGTGTATGCGCCATGTGCGTGCACGGAAGCGCAGAAGACTTAAAAGACTGGTAAGGAGCTCAGACGGGCGGGCAGGCCCTCCGGAGCACCGGAATGGAACGGTATCAAGTGCTCCAGGCTGACTCTGGTACACCTGTACCGGGGCGTACCGGCTGCAACCCACCACTGGGTTACATGCTCTGGGGCGCAGCAAGGTGGGTGAGGCCAGCCAGTCCTTTCAACTACCGAACCGGCTGAATCCCCCTGCTTCCAAGTCTGTTAATCTGTATCAAGACATCTGGCTGGCTGGGGAATTCTGGCAGTTGTAGTCCACACTTCGTCAAGCTGCCAATTGGTGTGGCAGCTTGACGATGTGTGGGCGTGGCAGCTGAAGCACGCATGCGCAAGGAGCACAGGGTGGTTGTATGCACATGTGCAAGGGGTTACATGCACAGTGGGTCACATGTGCAGGGGTGGGGCACATTACATTATGTCAAGTGTGCAGGGGCATGGCGCATTGTATTATGGATGTGGGCACGCACTTGATTTTGGCACACGGGGAGAAAAGGCTTAGCCATCACTGCACGAGACCCAACGGGCTCTGGTGATCAATCAAGTAATCCTTCTTCTTCTTCCTCCCTTTCTTCTTTCGTTGCAGGAGCGCCAGCTTCTCGCAAGCCACCCGCTTCTTCATGCGGAGCGACCCGTCGGTTCAGAAATTGTCTCAGGAGAACGGGCATTGCGTCAACGGGCTAGGCGGGCAGCTCCACGGTTTCTACAGCTTGCCCAAACCCAACCGGCACAACTCGGAGCTCCGGGACAGCGCTTACGACTTGCCCAGGAGCTTCGGCTGCTACGCCCACACCAAAGCCAGCCTCACCGGCTCGGAGACATCGGATAGCGAGGAGGTCTACACCTTCAAGACCCCCAACAGCACGCTTTGCAAAGATTTCGGGGACCTTTCCACAGATTCCTACGACGTGCCAGGCACCCCTCTGTCCATTTACCAGATCCCGAGGACCTTCACGCTGGACAAAAACCATAATGCCTTGGCGGTGGCTTCGAGCGACGCGGTGGCGACGCCTCCTCCCAGACCTCCCAAGCCGGGCCAGGCGGAATCCCGCTGGGGCAGCCCCCAACAACGCCTGGTGGACAGCGAAGGCCTCAGCATGAGTCCGACCGTCACCACCATTCCCCGAAGGAACACCCTGCCGGCGGTGGAGAACTGCAGGTTACACCGAGGTAGCTCCATCCCGGGAGGTTTTTCAAGAAGAGACTGGACAGCCATTTGTCCAGCACGGTATAGGGTTTTCAGTTTGAGCAGGGGGTTGGACTAGAAGACCTCCAAGGAAGAAAGAAGGAGGAGAAGGAAAAAGAAAGAGGGGAGGAGGAAGAGGAAAGGAGGAGGGACAGAGGAGGAGGAGGTGATTCTCAGCCTTGGCAGCTTGACAATATGTGGTCTTCAACTGCCAGAATTCCCCAGCCAGCCTGATCTCTTGATACAGATTAACAGAGTTAGAAGCAGGGGTGGGATTCAGCCGGTTCGGACCAGTTCGGGTGAACCGGCTGCTAATTTTACATGCGGTTCGCCGAACTGGTAGTTGAAAGGACTGGCTGGCCTCGCCCACCCCCCGCACCCCTCCCAGGAGTCTCCACATGGCCCATTTTGGATGCCAGGTAAGTGCAGGGTGCACNAGTCTAAGACAACCAAAAATCAAAGGAATATGGTCATATTCCATAAATTTGCACCCCATGTGCCATTTGTGTTTCCTTGTTGTTTACCTAAAGCTAGATATCTCACAGCAACAATAATAAAAAAACATGCATGAAACAATTAAAAAAAAACAATATCCAAAAACACAACACCAGAAGCAACACTCTCCCATAACAGCAATTACTGGGTTCTAGTCTCCCAACTCTTGAAAAGAAGAGATCGTTTTTTATGGCCTTAATAGAGTGCTATGGCGATCCATCCATGCAATCAGCTGATCTACCAAAGACTTGTTTGATTAATCTACCCTCATAAAAGACGAATAGAGGGGATACTGAAGTTTAAGCAGACCAAAAGATGGATGAGAAGAAGAGGTATACATAGTATCTATTTCAGCAAAGATTCAGTTACTCCTAACTGAAGGGGTGGGTTCCGGCAGACACTACTGACGGTTTGCTCGCGGGTATATGGCGCGGGCATGCTTTGCGTCCGTGTGCATGTGCAGTGCAATAAAAATGTTCTGCACATGTGCAGAAGCGAAAAACAAGATGGTGGCGCCTATGGCTCCACCTGGAGAACCAGTTTGGGTGTGTGGCAGGCCTGGGTCGCTGCCGGTTCCAATGACCCAGGCTACCAAACCACTACCAGTTCGGCCAAACTGGTCCGAACCGGTAGAAACCTACCACTGTCCCAGATGATAGCTTTGAATGTTTTTCACCATGCAAAGTGTCGAGAGCAAACAATCATTGCATATTCCTTTAATATTCTACATAAAAACCAAAAGCATTCTGTAAAATCTCGGCTCCTTCCTACCTCTTACCTTTACCTGCATTATCTCCTTTTTCCCCTTTCAGCCCTTGATCTCCGATTGAGCCAGGAGGTCCAGCTTTTCCCGGGGGTCCCTGTATTCCTTTTGATCCTGCCAATTCAATTTAAAAATGCACAAAAAGGTAAGTGAAGAAAATGATTATCATCATAGCTAAGATGATAAGATCAGGTGTGATGAAAGAGTTGCTCTAAATATATTGTGCAGGTGACCATCATTGGTCACCAAATAGAACATAAAATAATAAGTTTGGAGCAGCGGTGAAATCTGATTTTTTTCCCCCTGCCAGTTCTGTGGGCGTGGCTTGGTTGGGGTGTGTGTCATGTGACTTGGTGGGTGTGGCTATGAGGACCCGAGGTGGCGCAGTGGTTAGGGTGAGGTACTGCAGGCCACTTCAGCTGACTGTTATCTGCAGTTCAGCGGTTCTAATCTCA